GTAAAATTGGCTAAGAAAATATTATTATTTTTTTTTTGTTATTCTTCTTTATATCACTAGGATTGTGCAAGGCTGACCAGTTTCATTCTTTTGTATGAGTTGTTATCAATCAGAAATGACTTGAAGGCACCTAACAACAATAACAACTATAATGCTTGAGACATAATAAACAAAACTTTCAATCATACTTGTTGAATAAAGAGCAGAACCCATCTCTATAATACTTCCTTATCAAGGGTTTCCTGCTTTGCATGTTCCTCATTCCAGGTCTTTGGGGTCAGAGCCTCTAATAAAATTAGAGCACATATGATCTTCCCCTCAGGTTTTACTTTTCCTGAAAAAGAGCCATTATGGTACCAAGGAACACACTGAAGCCTCAGTAACTGCTCCACATCTCAATCAAAATATTAAATCATAAGCAATTTCACATCACAGGGGAATTTAAATATTCAAAGCACCATTAAGACTTGATGATAAACCATAAAACCTAAAGTAATTATGTTACCTAGAAGAAGAATAAGAATATATGTTTATACGGGCTACAATAACAATGCCAAAAAACCAAACTCACTGCTGACAAGTCCCTTCCAACTCATAGGGACCCCTCATTGTGTTTCTGAGGAGGTATCTCTATGGAAATAGATTGCCCAATCTTCCTTCCCAGGAGTGGCTGATAGATTTGAACTACCAGCCTTGTGGTTAGCAGTCAAATGTCTTAGGCACTATGCAATCAGAGCTCCTAGGGACTACATTAGAACCTAGAATTCTTTAAAGGTAATTTGATTAGTATCTTAAAATGTGGGATCATATTCATATTTTATATGTGTATAAAACAAAAATTTTGAAAGCAATTCCCCCAAATCAAAACTGAAACAAATAAGAAATGAAATAAAACAAAACTGTATATTAATTTGATGATGTACCATTATACTTTTTAAAATCCCCAATGTATCTCTTTTGCCTTTCTTCATTTAATTTGTTGGTTATTTTTACATTCTTAATCATTTTTATTA